GACGACGAAATTCGTCAAATTCATGAGGCCACTGTTAATGAAATGAAGGAGTTCTCAAAATTCGAACTGAAGCTCGCTGAAACCGACGACAGTCTGGAAGCATTTTATGAGTATCTCAGCTTTGAGAAAGGTGAATGGTTTCGTCTATCTAATGTTAGCATCTGGGGGCGAGGGTTGTTTTTCTGTAGATCAACGAGAACGTGTTTGCTTCGTTTTCCTATACACTTCTTATATACGAGTGTGTTGATTAGACTGCATACTTGCGGCAGCGTTCAAGAGCTACTAGGAAACTACGGATATCGATAGAGTGAACACCAGCGCGGAGTGGAGGGTATGTGGAAGTAGGAATCGAGAGCGTTTATTCCCAGTGTCTCCACTCCACGAACTCCCTGGGAGGGTGGCGGGGAAAAGGAGGAGAGCGACATTTGAATTAGGCGTTCGAGTCGGTGTACATCGTGTGCAACGCACCGTATAACTGCCGAAGCACAGAATTATGCAATGTAATGTACGGTATTGTGTAGTAATACGGTGCGATTGCACATGCCACGATTACGCATGTGCAATCGCACCGCCTAAGACCGCTGTCTGATCAGGACACAGCATGTTGCATCAACACATGGGGGTCGTACTGTTCGCTGGGGGGGGAGGTCGAGGGGTCTATATGGTCATTGTTGGGAGAGGGGCGGTTATTTTTGGACTGAGGCCGTCAGGATTATGCCAGTACTAGACAGATCACTTTTAGCTCGGCCGATGATGGAAGGGCATTGTATCGCACGTATATTTACATACTACGTCGCCGAGCAGATGCCAGCGATAAAGATTTCTCAAAGGTCGCGGAAGTTTTCGAAGAAGGATCTCGGGTACGAATTCCTTGAACTCACCTTAATCGTGCGTATCTATTGCTTATCACTTGCATTCCAGAATCTTGTAGAATGGTTTGGGAAGCATGATTGGGATCCACAGGCTGTGTATCGGCGCAATTGGGCGTACTTTGCCTACAACAAACTGAAAGATTTCGAAAAGGTAGCGTGTTTTCTCTTTCTTAAGCTTTTGTTCTCTCCGAGCCGTTGCTCCACATGAATGGTATTGAAGGGCCATAAAATTTGGGAGGATATTCTCGCGTCTGGGGGCGGGCGCTTTGCTGAGAAATGGATTGAAGCAGTGAAGTTGGAAAGGCAATTTGGGACTGCAGAAGGTGCCAGAAAACTTCTCTACAAGGTATCATTCTGCCGTATCGAGTATGAGTCTCAGAATGTTAGTATGTTTTTTTTAGGCTCTCAACTCTGTTTCCGATCATCCGACTGTTGTGTTCGAATATTTTATTCAATTTGAACGAGAGGAAGGTACTCTGGAACAGCTTGACAGAGCTCTCGAAAAGGTTAGACATTTACTTTGCATTTCCATTTTGTTCATTTCAGAAAATCTGAATCCTTCAATCCAAGGCGGATTTGATTTTTAGACACTTTCACTGACTTGGTGTCTGCTTCAGAAAGCATGTCCCCCTGAATTTGCCAGTCCATCTGGAATTGTAGTGAGTGCTCGTCTCCATGCCCATCCAAAAGTTAACAGATTGTTTTGAAATCTAAATGTGAAAATATGGGAGCACGGAGAAGTTTCATTGCGAAAATCTTCAGTGATCCAAAAAGAAAGCCAAAATTTTTTGGTACATGCAAATGGACTTTATTTTTTTTTGCTCTTTAGAGTCTTTTTCCATCAACGTTTCAGTGCCTCTTCGGAGTTTCTAACGAGGCACGATGCTGTGCCTTGGGTAAATGAACAAGCTGTGCTGCCATTTCTAAAACTTCGGAGCACATGCATTGCTATTATAAAGCTGAATTAAGGTGAATGCTCAAGCTTTGCTAAGAGCCAGCCGGGTGCAAGCGCAAAAGCCCAAAGAGGAAACGGCTAGCAAGAAGGTGCACGGAAAAGAGGTATATTTCTTTGGCTGTTCTTTTGTGTCCGACGTTTTACTTTTTGCTTGGTATCTTGTTTTTTGTCACGTCATACGGGACCAAATTTTGTACACTGTATTAGTTCAAAGAATAACTGTCCTTGATCCCTCCATTCTTAATACCTTGACTTTTTTGCAATGACTAAAGCAGCAATCTAATCGAATGTGCTTTGCCCACAACTTCTCTCTCCTCCAATTTGCTGATGTTGTTTTGGCAAAAATCGCCTGGCTGGGATTCGACAAATTGTATAGGTAGTTTTGGAGGTCCTCGTTATTATTGAAGATCAGCCCCTTCAACTGGTTCCTCGATGAGAACTCCCAGCTGAGTTTTCTTGAGAGCAGCCTAACAGTCTTTATGGTGAGCGGTCGTATTGCCTGGACCTGCTTACATGGTATTTCAAGACATACTTTGATCTCAAGTAATCTAGTCGTCCTTCCTTATGCAAGCAGTCCAACCCCAAGCTAACTGTCCCACTTTCGCGACTCCACAAAGAGTGAGGAGGGTGCTACAGCCGTCGATAGTTCTAGTTGTGACACCCGCTCAGTCGGACCGCCCACCCAGCGAATGTCCTCTTCACACGTGAGCAGGAGCGCTCTTTTTTTTTGTTGGGGCGGCGGCTATAAATTCGAAGTGAGTGTCTATTTGTGCCGACACGCTTGTGCTCGCGAGTGATTGTAATCCTTGCAGGACTACTTTTGACTCCAATGCATTTCCATAGATCTTCGTTGAAGTAGCCTAAAGTCGAGCTTTGGGTCAACATACCTCCCGCTTGTGGTTATATTCGCTTTATAAAGTTAAACTGTTCTTTTAGAGACGTGGTGCTGAGAACGCGTTTGAATCAAAGGCTACCTCTCGCAAAAGGGCAGGCTCTGGTCCCGAAGAGGTTGTTCCATCGAAAAAACAGGTAAATGGCAAATGGCAGTCTAGCTAGATCAAGATATCTAGAAGGTCGATGTAAGGTACCGGCCTTTTTAATGGGTCTCATAGACTCTAGAATGAGACAACTTTGCTGCGAAGTTGTCTTGTCCACATGACAACTTTTTGATCTTCACTACCACGCTGCACATATACCTTTGTTCTTTCTTAGATTTCCGAAGCTCCTCCTGTGAAGTCAACTACTGTGGAACAACAGGCGCCGAAAGACAAGGACGGGTTCGCAATGCCGATGCTCCCAGTAAAAAAGGCAAGTTACAGAATTTACGTGGTTCACAGTGCTTATTATATCGGTGCTTTCCCCGTTGAAAGCGTTCCCGTTTCAGACCAACTCCTCAGCAACTTCAGCACCGGGTTCATCTGGACAGTCCACCACAGCGCCCACTGATGAACAGAAGAAATTCACGGTTTTCGTTTCCAATCTAGACTTCAAAACGACACCTGAACAAGTCAAAGAGGTATATTACTTTTTGGTTTTAAGTAGACTGCTTTGAAGCTGTTATGTTGAACTTTCAGGTGTTGGAAGGTGTTGTGGAAGTACGTTTGGTGTATCGCGGAATGAGTAAATTGACTAAAGGATATGGTTTCGTCGATCTTGATTCCAAGAAAAGTTTTGATGATGCGCTAGCGAAGGATCGGATTCCCATCAATGGAAGACCAATGCTGGTGAGTGATGAACTCGACAAGCACTTTGTGCAGGATGCTGATTTGACGCTGGTTAAGATTTCGATATGCAATCCTGAAAAGCGACATACTTTCAAGTATGCTACCGATTTGGAGAAATCAAAGCTGTTTGTTCGGAATGTCCACTATGATTGTACAGAAGAACAATTACGGGTGAGTTTTGAAACGGACTGTCTAGCAGAAGCTTGCCGTTATACGAGCTAACCCCGAAATGCTCGTAGTGTTCGTTCGAAGCGGTTTGCAAAGATGCCTTTCCCATTGGATGTGAGGAGAGGACAGAGTTTTTCGAACCTCACATCAAAGGCACGCCCGCGCGTTCATTCCATGTTCGGGCGCTTTCGTTGGGCATGATAGTCCTGTCCCCGTTGGACATGATAGTCCTGTCCTATGGAGGATATATTGCCCTGGTAAAGAATTCGTGAGGAAAGCGCAGCGCGCTTGCGACGAGGCCGAGCTCCGCCCACCTACCACGGCAACGCCTAACTATCATTTTTATCTGGTACGAATACGAAAGAGCTGGCAGTGAGCGAGAACTCTTCCGAGCACTCACTTTCCTCGCCTTGTGTACCTTTAAATGTGGTTCATTGCTATATGGGCGCCTTTGAGCTCTAAGTTCTGGTATAGTGTAGAAGAAGGGTCCCAGCGTAGACTCGTATCTTTCTAGGATAGAGAAAATAGCCTGGTGCTATGCAGCAGACAAGCTAAAAATCGCCTAGTCAAAAGCGTATTGTGTGCAAGTCTTATACGAATGGTTTAGTTGAAATATAAACAAGGAAACCCGTCGTTTCAGGATGCTTTCAAAGTGTTTGGCGAAGTGAAAGCTGTTCGCATAGTCACTCACATCTCAGGAAAACCAAAAGGAGTTGCTTACGTTGAGTTTACTAACGAAGATGATGCTCGCAAAGCTGTGCTAGAGCCAGAAATCATCCTGCTTGGTTGGTGTTGTTTTTTTGTTTTCGTTTGTTTTTGAAAACTGAGCTGTTCAGTGGAGTTCTTTTCGCGTGAACATTTTTATGTCGGAGCGTCAATCAAAAGTTTTTTATAGATCGCAAACTGCATGTGGCAATTTCGAATCCACCAAAGAAGCCAGCAAAAGAAGAACCCAAACAGTCATCTTCAACTCCCATTGCCAGCACTTCTACTGATAGAAAAACCCACTTGACGATGATCCCAAGAGGAGTAAAATCGTCATCGGCAAAAGCTGTTAACGGAGTGAATAGTGCTCCAAAGAAAGCTATGAGCAATGATGAATTTAGGCAGATGCTCAACAAATGATATTATCTACAGACTTGTTAATTTACATTCCTGATCTTGAATGATAATTCATTAGATTTCCACGTTCTTGTGTGATTACACTTTAGGCTTGAATTTTGTTGATCGTGTCATTTTGTCTTTATTTCTTCGTTGTTACATGTTGATCTAAAACTATCTTCACATGTTTTATTTTTGTCGCATAAATTTTACCATATTTTGTTTATGAAATCCAAGAAAACGTATATTTAGCCGTATCTTATTTTTGGTGTAGTTGTAATAATGATATGTATCTCCTCCTAAACTGTTTATTGAACTAGGCTGCTTGAAATGGTGGATTCGAAGTCAAATGGAATGCTACCATCACTCGACGAGGAGCATCTGCTAGCACCATTTGATTACATCACTTCTATGCCAGGTAAACAGGTCCGTCTTGCCGGTTGGTCGTGAGGGGTTTATTTATTCATTTTTATTTACAATGCACTCATCCACATGACTCGCTGTACCAAATAGTCATGCCTAAAGGTCGACATTGAGGTCAAGAAAGGCCGACGTTTCATATAGAAAAAGAGAGAGAGGGAGAGAGAAAAACATGTCATTGATCGATTAGGCATTTCATAGCTTGCGACCGTGAAGAAATGCGGAAACTGCAGAAATGAAGAAATGCGGAATCTGCGGAAATGACGAAAAGCATTGTATACATATCGATTTGAAGAAATGCAGAAATGCGGAATCTGCAGAAATGCCGAAATGACGGAAAATCGGTACGTATCGGTTGCTTTTTGTCATTTCTGCAGATTCCGCATGTCTGCACTTTCCGCTTCTGCAGTTTCTGCATTTCTTCATTTCGGCATTTCTGCAGATTCCGCACTTCTGCAGTTTCGGCATTTCTGCATTTCTTCAAATCGATATGTATATAATGCTTTTCGTCATTTCCGCAGATTCCGCATTTCTTCATTTCTGCATTTCTTCATGGTCGCAAGCTATGAACGCGGCCTAAGATATACCATATAGTTATATTTCATTTTGAATTCACCACGCTCCAAAACAAATTCACCACTTTCAGAACCGAATTCACAACTTCTCAAAATAACATCAGTCTTTTTCGAATCAAATTCACCACAAGTTTTAGACGAGACAGTTAATCATACTACGGTGCATTAGACCCTCGCAAGTCCCGCCCCGACGGCCATGCCTATTTTTCATTGTGGTCACAAATTTTCAAATTCTATTTTTCTGCTTCTATGGTTTTTTTGCTAGAGCAGGCTAGGTTCACAGCTAGCATGTTATAGTCACGCTCGTCACTCGGAACAAACTTTGCCTTTTTTGTTTCGAGCGGCGAGCGTCACTCTAACATGCTAGCTGAGAAGCTAGCCCGCTCTCTATCTACTTTATTCTGCACATTTGCATCATTTTTCAAAAGTGTACGGGGCTTCTACGAATACAGGGGGGGGGCCAAAAAAAAGTCATTTTGCCTCCATGACTTTCAAGGCGCTATAAGTTACACTTTATTAAATTTTTATCGGACATTTTTACTACCATATTAAAGAGCACATTAAATACTATAGATACTCCGCCACAGCCTTCTGGAGGAGCGCCATCGAGAGATTCGGCCGCGCGAAAGTGAGTGGGTACCGGAGTTGAGCGAGATCGTCGTTCGATGATTCTCCGTTCCGACTGTGAGACCAGCCCTGTGAATCCGCCCGATACAGGTAATTGAAGGCGTTAAGGTCAAGTTACTCTGCTTACGATTATCCCACCTTCTTCAGTATAAACAATTGAGCCCCTTCCATTCCAAGTAGGCGAGAGTTTCTCCAACGCCCTTCGATTTCATGTGGTGGCACTCAATGCTGTAGCAGTACAAAGTTTCCAAGAAGGTACGGGCGACGACATGAAGAAGGGATATTCTCCTCGAGTTGCTCGACGTAGCCAGCAGCGCACACCCTCACTAGGGAGGTCGTTCAGGACGTGGAGCGCTTTTTGAAAACGGTTTTTGCATGATGTGGGTCACGTGCATGGAGTACCAAACTGGTGTTCATTTTTCCTGAACGCCTCTGGATGCCAAAAAATGGAGTGAAAAAGAAGTCCATGGAAACCGACTGTTTTTGAGCCTGAATGGGCTCTAAATCACTCGCAACTTCGGCCAGTTGCTGCCTATAGGGTCCTTATAAAGGTTGTACTGGTACTACTGATGAGAAAGTAGTCGCCAATGAGATCTTACTTGCGGCACGTAGTCAAGAGTCGAGGCTAGTTGGAATGGGCTCTTAAGCAATCGAAGTGGTACCCATGCCGACGATCGGATGGCCTAGTGGATAGCGTGGAGGATTCCCAAGCAGACGGTGGGGATGGGGGATGATGGTTCGACTCCCCTCGGCTTGCACGTTTTTGCATTTTTTATTTTCCGTTGTTGTCGCTTCCATATACGTCTGTTAATGAATTTTACTCGGATATCTGCCATTTATAGGCACATCCTAAATAGTTATACCCTAGTTGTGGGCTATTCAGCAATTTCACATTTCATTTCGATTTCACATACCATTAAGCAAGAACTTGTCTGAAAGTTGAGCTTTATATGTTATTCGGTGCCCTGATCACGACTATGGCGTTTCAGCTCCAGTGCCATTTATCTCCAATTTGGAGTTACGTCTTTCTCCCACTGGAGTCGCTATGTACATTCGTTTGAGGGACTTGCAGGGCCATTCTGACGCCAGATTGGATTGACGTCAAGAATAAGTGTCAGAATCGTGATCAGGACCATCGATTACCCCTATAGGCAAACTTTCGGCCAAAAAAATTTTTGACTTTTTTGGGTCTGTGCATTGGGTTATGCTCAAGAGTCACTTTGTTGAAGTCGACTTTTAGCTTGGGTTATCGAAACCCTCATTCAGTGGTACGGACAACAAAAAACTAGCAACAACCATAAACGCCATCGAAAAAAAGAACAAAATAGTCATCATTCCTCCAGGTGCATTTGAAAAAGTGAAGAAATCGGATGAGTCTCTCCTCTTGGTAGGGGAGGACGACATCTTCGTTGAGCGAGCCGTCGCGGGGGGTCGACATGTCCAGGATGGTTTTTCACTTGTTCTGCGGCCACCCATGCCCATGCCAAGTATGAATGGACCTTATGAGCACCAAATCCGCGATACGGCTGCCCGGCGGCCCACCACGTCATCGCTACGTCATCGCAGCTCTTAAACGTTGTGGGCTCTCCGATTCACGCACTGCGTGGACCAAATGGCCGGCCTATCACAACTCAAAAAAGTCAAAAAAATTTTTTGGCCGAAAGTTCGCCTGTAGGGGTAATCGATGGTCCTGATCACACTTATTCTTGACGTCAACCCAATCTGGCGTCAGAATGGCCCTGCAAGTCCCTCAAACGAATGTACATAGCGACTCCAGTGGGAGAAAGACGTGGCTCCAAATTGGAGATAAATGGCACTGGAGCTGAATAAATGCCATAGTCGTGATCAGGGCACCGAATAACATATAGAGCGCAACTTTCAGACAAGTTCTTGCTCAATTACCACTTCGATTGCTTAAGAGCCCATTCCAACTAGCCGTCGACTCTTAACTACGTGCCACAAGTAAGACCCCATTGGCGACTACTTTTCTCATCGATACCAGTACAACCTTTATAAGGACCCTATAGGCAGCAGCAACTGGCCGAAGTTGCGACGGAGTGATTTAGAGCATATCGTTCAGGCTCAAAAACAGTCGGTTTCCATGGACTTCTTTTTCACTCCATTTTTGGCATTCCCAGAGGCGTTCAGGAAAAATGAACACCAGTTTGGTACTCCATGCACGTGACCCCACATCATGCAAAAAACCGTTTTCAAAAAGCGCTCCACGTCCTGAACGACCTCCCTAGTTAGTCTGGGCCCACGCGAAGAAAATATCGGTTCATCCATTCCAGGTACGGCCGGTCCACACCATCAACCCGCGCCTTGGTGAATGGGGTGAAGATGATGTCCTGGACCGTAGCGACGTTGCCACGGAATAACTGCTTCTCGATGTTTGAGGTCTTGCAGATCAAGAGTACTGGTCTCCAGGTAGCTATCCATGGGTGATTCCATTCAAGAAGTTCCGCAGCTGTTTGGAGGCCACGTGAATTCCAAAGGCGTTCTCCACTCAGGCCGCGACTGGAGATGACTTCATATTTTGGTGTACATGAAGGTGAATGGCGGCAGCCGGCTCCTGCTTATAGAGGAAGATCTTGGGTATCTTCCGCCCTGGTACTCATATCCACTTCCTCTGTCTGGGCTGCGAAAACTTCGCTCATATGTGACTCGGCCGGAATGACTTTTTTTGCCCCCCCCCCTGTATGAGAGCTTCTCATGTCGGGGGGGGGGGGGGAAAGGGGAGGGAACACCAGGAACTTCAAAAATGTGAATCACATCTCCATTCCATGAAGCGTGGCTTGTGAAATTAAAAAAGTGGAAATTTCGTGAAGATTCGAAATTTGTTACAAATTCTTTAGAAAGTGGGCGGCATCGGTCATGTGTCGATGTTCGGTTTTTCCTGTCAGTGTGTATGTGCGAAACAGCAGAAGTAAAAAAAGTCGGAAGCCGAAGGTATAAATAAAATGGAATTTGAAAGTGAGTGACCACACTGAAAACTAGGCGTCTTCAGGGCGGGCTTGTGGTGATGCTGCGGAGCACCGATTGATTGATAAGTTGTCCCGTCCAAAAAGTCTGGTGAGTTGATTTGAAAAGTGGTGGTTTTGTTTTGAAAAGTGGTGAATTCGAGTGAGAATTGTATACGTTACCATTTTCACTTTTAATTCACCCTCTTTTCAAACCAAATTCACCCTTTTAAAACCAAATTCACTCCTTTTCATACCGGATTCACCCCTTTTCAAACCAAATTCACCCTCACTTTTCAAATCAAATTAACCACAGTTATTATTAGGGCGGGCAACTCATCAACCAGATCACGCCAGACACCGCTGCTAGCCCAGCCCCGACAACCACGCCTACTTGTCAGCGCGGACATAGATTTTCAAACCTTGTTTCATAACATTCTTGCCCATTGCTGTTTCCCACAAACGCCTGGACTGAAAAACGGCCGGCGATTGACATCATTGACGACTCCAAAGGGTTTGGCAATCTGGGCTCCCGCCCCCTTGACCACACCCACTTGCTTTTCGCGGAATTTTGATATCTTTTTCAAAATTTTTGCATTTTAGGGCGGCTGCGTGAAGGTCCGCCACTGCAGACTCGCTACTTTTGCAGAAGACCTGCCCACCTTTCAAAGAATGGTGATATCGGCAGTATAGAGTCTCGGCTGGCATGCTAGGGTATTGCTGATCATTCGGAACAAACTTTGCCTGATTTTCTTGTTCCGAGTGACGAACGAGACCCTAGCATGAAAGCCAAGACCCTATACTGCCGATTTGCACCATTTTTGAAAAGTGGGCGGGGCTTCTCACAGTGGGCGGGGCTTCACGCAGCAGCCCTAAAATGCAAAAATTTTGAAAAAAATATCAAAATTCCGCGAAAAGCAAGTGGGCGTGGTCAAGGGGGCGGAGCCTAGATTGCCAAACCCTTTAGAGAATGGGCGGAGTCGGCCATGTGTCAATGCCCGGTCGTTAAGTGTTTGTGGGAAACAGCAAAAGCAGAAGTTATGAAACAAGATTTGAGAATCTATGTCCGCGCTGACAAGTGGGCGTGGCCGTCGGGGCGGGGCTCGCAGTGATGTCTGGCGTGATCTGGTTGATGAGTTGCCCGCCCTAATAAGTGTGGTTAACTTGATGAAAAGTGAGGGTGAATTTGGTTTGAAAAGGTGAATTTAAAGTGAAAATGGTATATACCGGCTGTGCGGAAAGGTCGTGCAAAAAAGGTCACTTTTGCGCCTAAAAATGAAGGATGACTTTCAATATAACAGGTGAAATACATAATATGATTGATGGATAAGATAGAAGGGACGGTCATTTTTTAGAATGTGTCAGTTGGACCAAAACTAAGTTGGCTAACCTTGCTTGAATTTACCGTGACATCCCGGAAATTTCGCTTGGCTCTTGTCTCTGAAGCACCGCTCCCCATACCTTGTCTGCTATGATCTGCTTTGTTACTGTGAAATTTTGGAAGAGTCTACAGGTGGGACTGTTCAGATCAGAGGACAGCTTGCTATGGCATTCAATATTTGGCTCAAAATAGGTGCGAACGAATTATCAGAGATCATGGGTTAGTTTTTTCGACACTGTGGTTTCATCGAAAAAATGGGGGTCTTATTCTCTTCTTCACAGAGATTGTACAAATGCTTCACAATGCTTCGCTGCTTGTTGACGACATCGAGGATAACTCAGTCCTGCGACGTGGTCTCCCCGTCACGCACCATATTTACGGCACTCCACGGACTATCAATACGGCCAATTATGTGTATTTCATAGCGCTAGAAAAATGTACGCGACTATCCCATGAGGCTGTACGGATATTTGCAGGTAATTTTTAGTCTTTCTGTTATGGATTTCGTGCCTTACTCAAACTTTCCTTACAAGTTCCATCATCTAAAACATCAAACAACTACACGAAGTCCATGTCACGGTGACTGGAGTGTGCGTGCCACGGGTACAGTTGAGTGCGTGGCGCGGTAGGCAATTTGTTAGAGGCAGAGCCGAAAGAAGCTCATAGTCAGATGGCACACAAAAAATCTCCTGTTTAGGTCACGCCGCGCGATTTTATAATCTAGATTTCAGATTTTGCTCAATTCATGAAATTATAGAACAAATGCTAGAGTTGCATAGAGGTCAAGGCAAAGAGTTGTTTTGGAGAGATACCGTGACATGCCCAACCGAAGCAGAATATGAAGAAATGGTTGTTCAAAGTAAGACGAATCTCTTCAGTCGGCACCGTAAAACTTTGCAGCTCAAACTGGCATTTTCAGAAACTGGCGGATTATTCTTTCTCGCCGTGAAGCTAATAGAGTTATTCAGTGACAGTCAATATGATTTTCGCAAGTTGCTACGACAGATGGCCTTGTTCTTTCAAATACGGTTTGGCTTTTCATCCTATTTCGTTTTCGAATAACAAATTAGTATTTCACTTCCATTGCACATGGCACTTGGACTGCTACACAATACTTGGTTTTTTCTAGAGATGATTATATGAATCTGGTCTCGGACGAAATGGCGAAGCAAAAATCGTTTGCAGAAGATCTCACTGAAGGGAAATTCTCATTTCCCATCATTCATGCGATACGAAGCTCTCCGGTGTCCAGCAACGATGACCCCGTGCTAAGTACGTTGGTCACATATTTTTTTGAGGCGCCTGTGTTTGTATTCCCTGCAGAGTCCTAGCAGCATTCTGAGTCGACATCGGTATATGCTGTGACTTTTTGGCAGGATGGGAGAGGGTGAACTGACGCATACAGCGCAACTATGCTTTCAAATAAATTGTGTGCCAAGTGTATGACAATATATAATACCAGTGGGATCGCACGGCTCACGCCGTGCTCTCCTCCTTCCCTTGAGTTCGGCTTCGCCGAGCTGGCCTGGCTTTGCCACAGGCTCCATAATTTTGACCGAACTTTTTCGGTAGTGCTGCTCAGCTGTAGTGATCGAATCGTAACAGACAGAGCAAGGCTTAGGATCCCGCACAACTCAGCACGCGCTTCTATTTACAGCAGCGGTGTAGTCCGCGCCATGACGCCCATAGAATACATAAATCTGTAGATAGATACAATGTGTAGTCGGCCAATACAGCGCAATATGAATCGCTCAGTGAAATAGCAGATTTCGTTTCCATTACCTGCACCGGAATGCCTACCGACGAACGCTTTCCTTTCATTTAGCATGCGATCCGCTCGTTGAAGTGTTTTTCGGTTCTCCTCAAATTTCCCTGAGATTCCCGTTCAGGCGAACTACAAGCTCTGCCCCCCCCCGCTCGCTCGGAACATCGACAGACTTATTATAGTAGGATAAGTTCATTTTCTAGGGCTATTAAGGAAGTGATGGCAAAAGGAAAAGTATGCACACTGAGCCTTTGATACTTGGGGTATAGTGATAAGAGAGGTAATGATATGGCCCCTTATCCTTTCTTATCAATTGATAAGATCCTGTCACCCGTCATCAATGTCCCTATCACTGAAAACTCTATAATTTGGTAGTGTAAAGGCTCCAGCAATTTGACTGAACAGCATTGGCAACCTTTATCAGCTCCCTATACAGCTGTTATTGCCTCTACCTTGCGTTGTTGCACCTCTCAACTTCCGCGTTTGTGGAATATGCCGTACCATTCTAACCCCCCTTATCAAATCCTATCAGCTGCTATCATTCCCTATCACCCATCAATGATGCTCCTGTCTCACGTCCTGTATCATACCTTGGAACCAATGTCCCACTGTAACTGTGTCCCGCATTATGGACCGGGTCACCCTCCCTCTTCTGAGGGTTTTACCGGATTCTTAGGCAGTGCTATCATTCTTGGTTTTATCCATCAATAAATGTTCTGTGCCTGTCCCCAGAAACCCCCTGGTTTATTATAATCATACCTTGGAACCAATGTCCCACTGTTACTGTGTCCCGCACTATGGGCTCGGTCACCCTCCCCTTCTAAGGCCCCTTATCGAATCTTATCAGGTGCTATCACATTCTATCACCCACCAAGTGTTCCCGTCCTGCCATGTATATCACTTCTTGGAACTGTCGTCCTATCTTTTCTGCGACGCTCGCTATGAATTTCGTGACAGACAGACAGACGCACACACAAACACACACACACACTTACAGACATACTTAGCGGATTATATATAGTAGGATAATATAATAATATGCCTTGCTGTATTACTTCCAGACATCCTGCGTCAGCGAACTGAAGACGTAGAAGTGAAGAAATATTGCATCAAACTTATCAAAGAACGGCACTCTCTTGAGTGAGTTGATCAGCAGAAGAATACGTATTTTGTTTTTCATAATTGTAAGGGGATTAACAACAGTCATTCACCTGTTCTGGTTGTTAAGACTGGCTGTTGAGAAGCGCCTAATCTTGATAGTAAGAGAGTACTTCTGACAAAGATGGTGGCCTTGAGATATATCGATAAGAGACTACTTCTGACAAAGATGGTGGCCTTGAGATATATCGATAACGCTTTTGTAAAGGAGACCATTGAATTGTGTCCGCTGGAGTTGTGAGAAGGCGTGGAATAGCTCTTACGCTCTTTTCCATATTTCAAATAATAGTATGTAAAGTAGCAGTTTTGGAAGTCGAATAAGCGTAATTTGCAGCGCAAACTGTGGAGCACCGGTAGTAGGATTGGCCGTCAATGATTATTAACCATTTGTGAGGTGTGTCGCGTGCCCCGATCCGTGGCTCCTGCATATGGACATTGTTGTATTCAGAGGGGATTGGAAGTGGTAATAGTATAATAAAAGATGACTGAACTAGTGGGCCCCAAAACTGGAATGAATGGGAGAGCCTCCCAGAACTTGTTAGTGACTCTCCCTGGCCCTGAAACTTCAAAATGTTGTAAAAGTGACACTTGGCTTGAACTTTCAGCTATACATTATCCCGGCTTCGAAAAATTAGTGCTGACATCCGATCGGAAATCAAGAACCTTGGAGGTAACAGTAAGTTGGAAGATGTAATGGATCTCCTCGAACGTGGTATTGTAAATTGAATTAAAATGACGTTATTGTACACTAAGTCCGGTAGATAAGTCCGCAGACATCGCGATCGCCGCGCGCGCGAACACTAAATGGGAGCCGTAGTCTGAACCCGGTGATTCTTCTCCAGCTCTTGTCGCGTTCTGTAGCGGTGTCCGCTCTTATATGATTACGCCACTTCTTCCGATTGAATGGATGGTCCGAGTGAATTCCGGCTATTTTCAAGTTGTCATGCAGCGTGCCAAGCCAGCGCTGTTTGAGACGCCCTTTTGGCCGCTTTCGAGTACCTCGAGCTGGAGACCGGTTCGACCCACGGTGTCAGCCTTCGCGCGAAGCACATGACCGTACCATCGAAGGCGCGTTTCTCACATTTCGTCAGCTATAGGAGGTACACCGGACTTTTTGACGACATCGTTGCAGATGCGGTCCAGGCGCGTGACCACCGTCCAACACAACAGTTTCATCTCCATCACTGGAGCGAGCTTCAACTTTTTTGGTCGCGAACCAGCATTCAGCACCGTATATCGCGACTGGTTGAACCACGGTTCTAGAGATGTTTGACTTGATGCGATGGCATTTTCTTATCGTAGAGGATCCCAGTAATGGGTGTCGCCATTCTGCTGATCCGAGATACTTGAATGTTCTTGTGCGTTTGAGCTCCGTTTCACAATCTTAATGGAGGGCTCATTTGGGCCGGTTGTCAAGTACTCGGTCTTTTTGGCGTTTTACCTGAGTCTAAACTTTGCAGACGATCGGCCCCAGCTTGCACCTGCTGCTGGTGTGTTCTAGCTTCATAGGCAAGCATCACATCATCAGCATAAATCAGCGTCCAGGGAACTTCCTTCTGCAGACCGTGAGATAGTATTCATTACGCCAACGGAAAGTAGTTCGGAAAGCGCAGAGCCTTGATGCACCCCTATGGTGATGGGGAACTGCCATTAAAACTCCAGCTGGTGAGCGAACTTGGCTCCCTGGGCTGTAGTGAAGGATACGCACCCACTCAACTAGCTCTTTAGGAGGAACGCCGCACTGCTGTAGGGCGTACCGTATAACATCACGCGGCACGCTACAAGCACGGGCTCCTGCTTCTCTCGATGTTTCTCTATCAAAAGGCGACCGGCATGTATGGCGTCGATAGTACAGCAGCCCGCCGCGAAGCCAAGCTGAAACCAATGGTCATTTTCTGAATAAGAAAAATTGGAAAGGACATGAGTATCAGTAGAAGATATAATCGTAAAAGAAATGGCAAAGGG